TTAAGCACATTTCCTATTTATATAAGAAACTGAAAAATGGATGAGAATGTTGTAAAGGTAATTTTGTACGTGTAGTATAAAGTTTAAATTGCGAAGATGACATGTTTTAGATGGAAATTTATAGTTTTTGCTTTTTTCCCTTCTTTCCGATAGGTCTTATTCCACTGCTGGGGATTGATGTGTGGGAGCATGCTTATTATCTTCAGTATAAAAATGTCAGACCTGATTATCTAAAAGCCATTTGGAATGTAATCAACTGGGATAATGTAACTGAAAGATACATGGCTTGCAAACAGTAAGGCGTTAGCGTTACACCGAGAACGTAAAGCTCTTTATGACTATTTTTGTAGTAGTGCAGAGAACTGCAGTATACCCACAAGCTGCTGTATTGTAGGGTTTCTGACTGATGCTTATTCAAATATTCGATAAACATAATTTAGTGCTGTGTATCATTCTTGTTTTAAAATTTTGTTATTGGGCACTGTTTGAACATTTTAAATGCTTTGTATGATTTAGTCTTTTGATTGAACATTTTCTTCAGAGAGCTAAAATAACTAGGAAGTTATAAATGTCACCATAAAGCCATCAAAAATATCGCATCCCTATGCTGTTGGGGCCGCTAGGGAAGCCTTTGTACCCTGCTCAATTGCATTTATAGCGAATCTAGTGTTTTGTCCCAGATGTTTAACAATAAAATACTAAGTTTATCCCCCAAGGGATATTCAGTTTTCTATTGAAAATTTCTCATTTTGTGAGTAATCCTCTGTCTAGTATTACTTCCGGTAGTTTATCACCCAGTGGTCTTTATTTATGCACATTTTGCACAAAGTTAATGCCATTTGTCATTAAAAAAATATAACTTGATTGCTAATTGAGAATTGCTTTATTATGAGAAGGAAATAGTGTGCATCTGAATTTTTTGCAAGAAGAAATATAAAGACTTATGTGAAATTTTATTTTCAAACATAGAAATGTGTGTTGCATTAGTCATCAAAATGGATAAATTCGGGCCTAGTCGAAGACATCGGCGGTGTGCGTGAGGCACCGATCGCTGGCCAGGCTCTCGCCCTCTGCTTTCGGGCCCGTTCTGAGCGGCCCTCCTAGGACCACCGGGCCCAGTCAGGTGCTGCCTTCCCAGTAATAAGAGGCAAAGCCGTTTCTAGATGCGGTCCGCGGTGCACCTCCCACGGGAACATTCGTTTTCAAAGACTTGTTTTTGAGTTACTCTATCCATTTCAATGCTTTTTTTTTTTTTTTAAGAAAATTTTCAGTCACTATAGGACCTTTATTGTTGAGTTTTTTTCAATAAAGGGAAAACTATACCCATAAAACAGCAACACAGCATGTCAGATTACATTCCTGTTCAGTCTTTGCAAACGGAGCTGTTTCCATGTAGCACAGAGAGAGCCTTGTGCATTTGGCTCAACACTGCCTTGTGGTCCACGTTTCAGCATCTTCCTCATTGTCTTTAATTTTATCAATTGGACATGTCCTAATTTATTTTACAGTTCTATTACTGAATATTACATTTGTTTCTAATTGTTTGTTACAAGTAATGCTGTGTTGAGCAACCCACATAGGCTTTACCTTCTATTGGAATATTTTCTCCATAAAGGTTTTCTCTTAAACCTATTAGGTAACAGGATGTTTTCCCAAGTTTATATTTTTTAAATATCCCCCCCCCCACTGTACTTTGTTTTTTTTTTTATGGAAAAATGGAGTAACTTAGCAATTTCAATATTGAAGACTGACGTTTAAAAAAGCATTAAATTCCAGACACTTTTCTTTTAGAATTCAATTGGAATAGCTGTTAGGTTTTCTGAAGAGTGTCGATGAGAATGATGATAACTGTGTGTGTGTATATGTTTATGCTTATGGATTGAAAGTACTTCAGAGACTTTGATGGTTTTTGTACATTGTGTAAAAATGACTTTCATGGAGTGCACATGGGAGCCATGTGATTACTGCTTACATATATAATATATATGCCTCTTTACTTATACACAAGGCAATGAACCCTTTAAACAGACCATCTAGAAAAGTGGGACCTTTTGAAAGATGGGCTTTTGATGGGTAGTCTGCTAGATCATGGTACGTATGGAACTAACAAAGCTATGCAGACACTACTGATTTATATAAGGCTTTTTGATTCTTATTAAGCTTTAAGATTTCAAAAAAAATCAACATAGAAATTTCTGTGGGCCCGCATTTTTGCTTTGGCTTTG